TGATGATGATGATGATGATGATGATGATGATGATGATGATGATGATGATGATGATGCTGATGATGATGATGATGATGATGATGATGCTGAAGATAATGCTAATGCTGATGCTGATGCTGATGGTGATGAGGAGAAGGACTAGGGCGATTATGCCTGCTGCTGCTGCTGAGGAGGAGGAGGAGGAGGAGGAGTCCTTGGGTGCGAGAATGAGGGCGGGTCTGGAGATATTTTTGATACTTGGTTGGGGTAGCGGGTGGGGGTGGGGGGGAAGGGGCGGATTGGTTCCAAAGGGTACTCCCCCACTTCCCAAATCACCTCTTCCCCCTTCTTCTTCTCAATTCTTTACGCTTCGCGTATCCCCACCAGCCCATCTCAAAACAGCAACTCTTGCGAAGCATGCCGACAGTCGTGTTTTTCAGGCGTGTTTCCGCCTGCCCCCGCATATCTCCCCTGTTCCTCCTTCCTCCCGCCTCCTTGTACATCCTCCTTGTGGTGGGAGCGGGAGAAGGACGAGGCGGAGGAGGAGGGAGAGAAAGCGCTCCTCGTGGTTTGAGTCGTTTGGGGTTTCTTGTCCTGGTGTGAGTCGTTCGGGCCCTTCTTCCTGGTGTGAATCGTTCGGGCTCTTCGTGATGTGAGTCGTTCGGGCTCTTCGTCCTGGTGTGAGTCGTTCGGGCTTCTCGTGGTGTGAGTTGTTCGGGCCCCTCGTCGTCGTGTGAGTCGTTCGGGCCCCTCCTCCTGGTGTGACTCGTTCGGGCTCCTCGTGGTGTGAGTCGTTCGGGGCCCTCGTCGTGGTGTGAGTCGTTTTGGGAGCCTCTTGGAGGCCTTTTGGGGCGTCTTCGGGGCCTCTTGGCGGCCCCAGGGGCTTCTAGGAGCGTCTTGGGTGCCTTGGGGGAGCCTCTTCGGGCCTCTTGGGAGCCTCTTGGAGGCCGTTTGGGGCGTCTTGGGGGCCTCTTGGGGGAGCCTCCTCGGGGGAGCCTCTTGGGGCCTCTTGGGGGGGGGCATCTTGGGGGCCTCTTGGAGGCCTCTTGGGGGCTCTTGGAGGCCTCTTGGAGGCCTCTTGGAGGGGTCTGGGAGGAATCTTGGGGCCATCTGTCGGGCGATCGATCACAGATGGGGGGAGCACTTTTCTCCCTCCCCCCGTCGGGGCCAGAATCCTCGTGAGGGGTGTCGTTTTTTAGCCCTCCGAGGAGTCGAAAAAGACCCCTCCGGCGACCCGCGGAGGGACCTCTCCAGGCCCAGGGGGAGGGGGTAGGGGGAGGGGTAAACCCCTCCCCGAAGGGGAAGAAGGGGGGTTGAGAACAGAGCGGGCTCTCTAAACCACTCACGCCCAAAGGGCTGGTGGGATTCTCCTCCTCCTCCTCGTCCTTTTTCTCCTCATCCTTTTCCTCCTCCTCCGCCTCCTCCTCCTCCTCTCCCTCCCAATTCGCCTCCTACTCCCTCCCTTCCCTCCCTCCCTCTCTGCCTCCCTCCCTCCTTTCTCCCTCAAGCCTTGTGGCCCGAGCCCGCGTGGCCCCCGCCGCTCGCTCGCGCTGCCTGCGGCAACGCCAACCGTCGTGGGGCTGCGGGACGGGCCCGCTACCACTTCGGCCCGTGGTTTGCGGGGCACCTCTACACCTGCGCAGGGCCCGGAGAGGCGGCCGCAGCGGCAGCCAGCACGCTGAGTGGCGAGACCGAGCCCCGCGGAAACAGGGCGAGAGCAGCCGATGGAGGCAGCCGAGCCGCGGGCGCCCAGCTTGGTGGCATCGCGCCTTGATTCTCAGCGACGCACTGGCGTGGGGAGCCTCGGGGGCTCCCAGGGCGGGGCGGTTTCCACCGCGGGATGCCACCAAGAGAAGTGCAAGGCGGACGGGGCCGAATGCAGAGAGGATCGGGGGCGCGAGCATTGCGTGATTCACACGGGATTATGGCCTCGGGGGCGCGAGCCCCGCGTATTTTTACGTGTCCCGCGCCCTTTTAGGAATCAGGCAACACGATTCGGGCGCGGGAGATTGCTGGTTTACCACCCTCGCGTGGACCTCAACAGTTTACAGTGGGAAGCAGAAGGCAGGATTGCAACATCGGAGACTTGATCCTGCAACTGGCGCCGGGTGCAGCAACCTCGTCCAACGGTGGCCCCGCAAGGAGGCCGGCGGATGCTCCCTCGTGGAAATCGAGACGACTCGGTGCGCGCGGCAGCCAATGCGGATCGCTGGAGGAATCGAGCTATCCGACGGCTGTGCCTAGCGAGGCGCTGAGACTGCAGCCGACCTCGTCGCCATCCAGGCATGGCAGGGCCGAGAGAGAGAGAGAGAGAGAGAGAGAGAGAAAAAGAACAAATTATCCTGGCGAAGGACCCAACCATATGCAGTTGTGAGTATCGCAATTGTGAGTATCTTCTTCGGTGGCGCTCCCTATGGGGCCACGAACCGCATGAGGGGTGTGCCGAAATGTGGCGGGGTACACAACGCAAAGGAATACGATAGATCTGATTACGAGAGAAAGAACGCGGGTGAGTCAGAGCGCGAGGGAATCTGAGTATGAATGGGTCTGCGCGCGAGTGAATATATTTGCATGAATGCG